ATTCTCTTTGGCTCTCTCGTTCTTGATGGAAAGTTTGGCATTGAATTGAATAAAAACCCAGTCATTCATTCTAGAAGCTTCAAGCCTTTTCCTCTTCTTTGTGTGTATCTATTAATGAAGATGACAAACAAATTATTATTAGCATGGTTAATCAAGAATGACCCAAACCATTTAACAACATACAAGTACCGTTGCTTACCCCTTGAAAAGTACTCCAATTTCGCTCACATCCTGAAGCACTAGCAGTCAAAGATAGAATTCTCATTGACATGTTTTGCAGATTTAGAGTCTTTAAACCCCAATTACTCCAACGGTCAACTAAAAGTTAAGCAAAATACAAGAAACAGTTAAAAATCATTTTTACTTAATAGGAACAGAACAGTATTAATAAATTACAACGTACCTGGATCCATGGACATCTATGCTCCACCAACTGCACCCACTTTATCAAACCAATCTTCACGATGCCTGTAATTGAGTAACTCGACATTCTGAACTAATTCATTGTCTCTGGGTCATCCATAAAAACTTCTCAATGCAAGTCAATGCTGCTTTTTGAAGGCCAGAATCCATTCTCATAGTTGGATCATTATAATAGTAATGAGGATTCATCAAATATGCAGCCTTATGTAAGGGGGTGTCAAGCCTATCTTTACTGTTTTCCTCAATGACATCAAGAATAGGCTTGTATTTCTCCTGCTTGTTCTTATAAAATGCTTTTATCTCTTTCCTTGCGTTCTCCAACTCTCCAACAATGAAACCCATGGATGGCTTATCACCTAGCCCTAGCCGCAAAACCTACACAAGGTTAGGTATTAATTATAAATGAGTTGAATCATGATATCCGAAATCTTATCCCACTCATAATTTAAAACTGAGCTTGAAGTTAAAAATGAATTCCTTTACTAAAGGACCAAAGACTTTCAAGCACCTATTAACACCTTCCCAAAATTTAATGCTCAACACTGTTGCAGAGGCCTCCTTTCCCTTGTAAGAAGAAGAGAGCTTGCACATACTCCAATCATCAGAGGAGAACATAAACATCAACTTTCCTTTTTTCTCAAATAAGCTTTGCAAGGTGAGAAATGTTGTTGCAAACTTTGTCACTCCCAGCTTCACTATATCTCTCCTTAAGGTTATCCTATGCATCATATTTAATGTCCTGCGATGTGCGTGGATGAAAATTGTAAGGTTCTTGGCCTTTGAGATAATGCCATCAAATTGAGGGAACTTCCTGATTCCTTCAAGCATTAGATTGATTGCATGAGTAGCACAAGAGCTTCAAAACAATTTTGGCCTTTTCTTTAACACAAGTTTTGCAGCTGCCATGTTATTTGAAGCATTATCATCAGTCACAATTTAGAAAACTTTTTCTTCCCCAACCTCATCAATACCCTTATTACCATAATCAGCTATGTATTCTGCAGTGAGTGCCTGCTCAGAATCCTCCCTAGATAGAAAAATAGTTCCCATCCCAGAGTTTACACATAAGTTCATGATGCTTCTTTGCTTGCTATCTGTCCAACAATCAATAATTACAGAACAGCCAGTATACTTCCACTCTTGTTCATGTTTTTTCAGTGACTCCTTTGTCCTCCCAACTTCTTCCTTCAAAAGTGGCTCAGATAATTGATATCGGCTAGGTGGTCTGTATCCTCTTCCATATCTACCCAAAGCCTCACATAAAGCAAGGAAGCTTGGATGCTTCAATGGCTTCGAAAGGAATCCCAGCTTCATACATCCAGTGTGCCACATGTTCATGAACATCATTCAAACATTCTTTATGTTTATCAGCACCATCTACTGCTTCCTCTAATCTCTTTTAAAAGATATTTCTAGCATCAATGTTCTTGCAAACATATCTATCCATTGGACCATGCTTCCCCACCCTACTAGCTCCACTAGTTTGTACATCATCAACATCAAAATCCAAGCTTTTTCCCGGTAGAATGCTACAACTAAACTCATCCCTCAATCCTGCCTCCTCCTTCGCTCTTTTTGCCTCACTGAGCCTATTTGCTCCTTTATTCCCACCAAGCAATGCTTCCAGACACCTTCTTTTATCTTCCGCCAACGACAGAGGCCATTTCTTAACAGATGTCTTGTAATGAGCAATATGTTGTTTTATCCTATAAACACCGCCTCTGCATACATGACCGCATAACTTGCACTCAACAGCATTCAACTTATTTGGATCGCAAAGTTCGCCACACTCCCATCCGATGTCATTTGACTTCCTCTTCAAACTAGTACGACGTTCCGAAGCCGCATTTGAATCTTCTGAAGCCTCCTCCATATTCCTCAGTGCGGAGAAAGAAATCCTACACCAAACAGAGAAACCGAGAACATCAAACATAACTTCCATAACACAATTGAAAAAAAAAAAAAAAAAACCTACGTCAAATAGAGCGCAGTTGTTTTGTTTTTCATTTTCTGGATAATGAGTTTCAAATTTTGTTTTCAACTTGTCTGGAAAAGGGACAAGAATCGGGAAGGTCGTCTTGTAAGGTTGATTGCTCGGCGATGTAGTTCCGAGGATGAGGTCGACATGAAGGGGAAGACAAAAACTGTGAAGGGAGTGAGCAAGTGAGGTCAGTGTGAAGGGGATTCCGATTTGGGAACCCAAAGGACAGGAAAAGAAACCCTGATTTTGTGATTTCTGTTTAATACGACGTCGTTTTCTAACCTTCTTGAGATTATCTTGTTAATATTATGATCGTTTGGAAAATTGGGCTTGGCGCCAAATCTGATTAGGCGCGCTATGTTGATCGTTTGGAGCTTAGTGCTAAATCTGAGCGCTTCATTGCACCCTAGGTTGGGCGCTTAACATTCAAAACCACTCTAATTATTTGTCTTTGAAATTATTATCCTTTCAATATATATTTTATGTGCTTAATTCTGTCAATTTCATATTATTAGAATAATTACTTTAAAATAGATAAAATCTCATGAGTCATGTGAATAATTACTTTATTATTTTATCTTTGTCAGTAATTCAATGTTATCCTAGTATAAATCAAATCTATTTAGATTTATAAAAGTGAGAAAAATCGCATTCAAACATTGTAAAACGAGATTTTTTTTTATCTCTATACCCTTAAGTTGATTATATTTATACTAATATAGTGTTGATGAAGATCAAATAATGGAGAGAATGTAAAATTAATTAAATTAAAATTATAAATTTTTATTTTTAGATGAAGTACTTTGTAAAAAAAATCTATACAAAATATTGTCAAATGAAAGCTGCTCCCTCCTAGCTAATTGTATAGGACTGAATTCTCAGAGATCGCAAATTGCCTCTTGACTTCGTTTCTCTTTTGTTAATATTTGTTTTGGTGATGTACTTCTTTTCTGTTGTTAGTTGAAGGAAAAATCGACTGTACTAAAGCAAATCAGAGGTAGAATCTTCACCCTTTCTCCCTACCTTAATGTATAAGCTACTAATTTCATCTTGTAGTAACATTTAAGGTGTTTTGTTTCGAAGTAATGACCTTACGTTAACCTTTTTTTTTTTTTTTTCTTAACAAGTACAATTTGGGGTAAAAGATAAATAACAACGTGGTATTACTATGTCTCAAATTTTAATCATTATCAAAACATTAAATGCACCTAACAATTGACTTATGAGATTTGATATACGAAGAGAGTGTTGGATAAAACTTCATATTAACCATTTTCATGTGCAAGAATTCTATAATTCACAAATCATCTTGTGATATTAATAATTTATTATTTATTATCCATCACCTCTTATGAAAACCTTTTTAGAAAACCCTTACATATATATTTTTTATAGGATATTAAATATAGTTTATTAATATAAAAAATTATTATATAGTTTAAATTATGTCAAATTACGTAACTTAAATTGTTAAGACAAAAGTAAAACCAATAAATCTTTTAATATTAAAAATTAATTTTTATTTAATAATTTTTATTTTATAATTCCACGTGAATTATACTACAAAACAAAATATTCTTACAAATAATAAGAATAAGGTAAAAGTAGCAGAGGATGACAAGACTCATCCATGTAGCCACACTAGAGGAGCTAGATAAGGCATGTACAATGAGAAACAATGAGAAATTTCATAATTAATATTACTTTATATAAATTTATTTTTTTTATATTTCTACTTGTAAATAAAATAACTAACAAAACACTTTTTTTTTCAATATTAAAGCTTTCCTAAAAATTATATAAATATTATTTTATTTAACTTACATTTTGTATATTTAAATAAAAGAATTGAATTGAATTGAATTTTTCAAAAAAAAAAAAAAAAAGCCAACCCAATGCAATGTTTTTATATTTAAGAAAAAAACAAAATTTGTTCCCATAATAGAGACAAACTTTGTTTGAGAACAAGCTCTAACACGTAGAGTTCTGTTTTTTTCTCTTTTTTTTTTCTTTTTTTTTTTCTTTTTTCTTGAGGAAAAAATAATGAAAGAGAATATCAGTATGCATCGATCTTTTAAAGAATCATAAAGAAAAACATGAATTTTATAGCGCCTAACCCATTTTTATAGATACATTAGAGTATGTACCACGAAGAACAATGAAAAATCTCATTTAATTTGGTGTTATATTATCACAATTAATATTATTTTACATAAAATTATACTTTTATATATTTAACCCCTAAATAAAATATCTAATAAAATACTTTTTTTTTTCAAAGCATAAAGTTTCTTTAAAAATCACATTAATATTATTTTATTTTATTTACATTAAAAAGTTGATTTTTTTTTTTTTTAAAGACAGATGTTTGATCGAACAATTTAAAAGTAATTGAATGAAAAGTATGGTTGCAACGACTGCCGCAGTCCATTTTACTTTTTAAGCATTTTTGAGGGTTAATTAAGAAGTTAAAAAAGAGAGGTTGTTCTCTTTTTGGAGAACTCTATTGAGGAGTTTTGTCTTTGTTTTCTTTTGAAAAAGTGCAATAGAAGAGAATACCATGCTCTTAAAAGCAGAAATGCTTGTCTCTCTATGACCAAAAAAAAAAAAAAATTATATTTGAAACCTGAAGATCCTATGCTTTTGGGTGGCAAAAAGACGATGTGGATGTTACATTAATACCATGACAGCTTACCCCTGACCGACATTCTTACTCAGGATGGCTTGAGAGAAAACCGATTCACCAGCTGGCTTTCCACATCTACATTGTACAACATCAGGTGGCGATCTATACCATATCAACATTGTATACTAAAATAGAAAACATAAACAAAAATGTCAAAAACATGAATGACTCAAATAGGCTAGATTGAAGGGGGTGTGCTTATGGCCATATGTTATGCTCAATCTTAAGTTCTCTATAGATTAGGACACGTGAAACAACCTAAAAGATTTTATCAAAATTAGAATAAACTTCAAGGAAAAGATGAATTAGAGTTCTACACTTCTATTTTGAAACCTCTATTAACACAATTACACTACAAATCTCAATTAACATAGCTATGAAGTGTTAGATTCTCACAAAGTATAAAAAATTGAGTTCAATGGACTAAGAAGACATTATCATATTTGAACTCTATTGTAATATTCTGTATACTCATGTATAGACCTAGGATATGGATCTTGGTCCTCTCTCTCACTCAACCATTGTAGCTCTCTTTCATTTATTAATAAAGTTCTCAGTTCCATCTATTTGTTAGTGTTAATACCACACATTTCATTTTGTTTAGACCACAAATTTTGTTTAATTTGACAAATATTTTATTTTTTGTAATTTTTTAGGTAATTAGTTATAATATTTAAAAATATCAACCTATAAACTAGTTTTAATCTATTAAATAAAAAATATCAATTATTCTATTAGGTATTAGCTATTATTGACAATTAAACCAAACAAAACAAGTATCTTTGAAATAATATTTTGTAGCTTCAACATTATAATATTATAATGTATGACCATAACTACTCTAACCAGATCTATGTTAAAAACCTTTTTAGGAATAAAATCACCCCTAAAAGGGAAAGTATAATGCTTTTTGTGTAAAATAGTTTGTAATACTATATAATGTGACAATTCCTTTCTTTTTCCTTTTATTTAGGGCCATACATGAATAAGTATATATCAACTACTCTAATAATAAGTACATCACATATATCATATTAAAATATCATATAGAAAAATATTGTATTTCTATAAATAAAAAAAAAAAGGGAGAAAAACGTTTTTCAAGTTGATCACTTAAGTTGCACGAAAAAAAGTAAAAAAAAAAATATTTTCTAAAATTATTTAGATATTTTTAATAAATTTCTCTTTAACGTAGAAATGTTTATAAAAAAGATTTATAAAATTATTTAAATTTCTTATAAACATTTCTATATCATTTTACAAGGACATGAAAACCGGTATATAAAAAAAATGTTGTCCCCAATATCGCCGCCTGAGAAAAATACCACTACTACTACAGTACCCCGGAATTTTAAAGCGTAAAAAACGTCGATAATTTTGGAGGGAAACCCCCAAAATTTCAAACTCGGACAAGAAAGTGCCACATCCCATACAACTCACGCGACTTTTTGCAATAAAAAAAAGTTTTTTTTTTTTTTTTTTCAAATTCCATACTCTTTAATTAATTAATAATTAATCGCCGCAAATTTGCGCTGTCCAAATTCAAAGCGACGCTCCCACCTACCCACCGCCCGCAGAAAAACCCAAGAAACGCCATATCCAACCACACCCTTCCGTCGGAGACAGGGAGGCAGCATTGGATATGTCGCAGAGCGGGAGTGGGAGTGTGGACCTCAACCTGCCGGAGGAGGTCCTGGCGGTGATTCCGACGGACCCTTATGAGCAGCTGGATCTGGCGCGTAAGATCACCTCCATGGCAATCGCCTCCAGGGTGTCGAATCTTGAGGCGGAAATGGGGAAGATGCGGCAAAAGGTTTACGAGAAAGATCGTATTATTTACGATTTGGAGGAGAAGGTCTCTCGCTTGCAGCAGGCGTACCATGAGTCCGAGTCTAGATACAAGATTACTCTCGACGAGAATGTAACTCAATTTCTTTTTTCATTTCGTTCGCCTGCCTCTTCGTTTTATTATATATGTGTTTCCCTTTCTTGCACTATAGATGGGATTGTGAATATCTTCTTGAGGGTTGATGATTTCGTGGGTTACCTGGAGCTCTCGGCAGAATTAGGAACCATCTGTAGCAATCTAGACAATTTAATGGGGTTTCTAAGTTTTTGTTAGCTTTATAGTTTTGAAATTTGTGGTATTTTGTGGAGTTAATTTTCTTTTATGTTCCAATTTTTTCCCCAAATGGATGAAGGATTTTTGGGTTTTGTTAGTGATGGTGGTATTTCTTCCCCGTTTTATTGATCTCTTTCAAAGTATTTGATGAAAGTTAATGAGGAATTCTGGGAGGAACTTTGTTGACTCTGGGGGATTTTTATGATTTTGGGAACTTTCGAGATTTTTATCTTGTGATTTAATGATTTTTCTATTTCCTTGTTTTCAACTGAAGATGAAGCTTTCAAAGGAGCGAGATTCATTAGCATTGACAGCCAAGAAGCTCAACCGTGATTTGTCTAAGGTAAGATTTTTTTTTTTTTTTTCTCATGCACTACTTTAATTGAATTTGAGTTTTGTTCAGACTTTCTTCATATCTAATAAACACAAGAAATAACATATTTACTATTTTGCAGTTGGAGACTTTTAAGAGACAACTCATGCAGTCATTAAGTGATGAAAATGCATCTGTAAGGCTTCTATATTACCAATTCTAGTTGTTGAGATTTATCGTTCAAATAGATTTCTCTTATTCATGCTTGATATTCCCATAAATTTATGGTTAATGTTTTATCTACACCCTGTTTTCACTTTTATAATTAAAGTTCCCTTCAGACATTATCCAAGTAACTAAAATTTTTACTTTTTCCCTCTTTATGCAGCCTGCTGAAACTGTTGATATTGGCACCTGTGACCAGGCAGTCCCTAAAGCCTATCCTGATAAGGGTACCATTAATCTTTGTAATGCTTTCATTATGTGGTTTTCTAGTTTTTTATGCACCTATATATTCTGTTCATTCCTGGAGTTGTCTACCGTTCTCTGTTTGCCCTATCTATATCTTTTGTTGATGATAATGTTGTTGATTAGTATTCTACATTCTACCTCTTAGATGAAGGAATAAATGGCTACACTTTACATTCTTCCAATGGCTCCACAGACATGGCAAGGACAACTGATGAAGGTAACTAAGCGAATTTCTTTTGTTTCTTCTATCTTGCTTGTATGTAAGCAGTTAATTATGAACTTGGTTTGGAAAGATGTTTGGTGTACGTGTCTTACAAAGTGTTATATGTAGGTTATATTTTCTTAAATTTCTTTTGTTGATTGATATTCTTTTTATTTTCTAATGAGATTTTGAGGTTAAAAAGGCTTATTGAAGGAATAAGAATCATTTTTGCTCCTTATACGCTAAAGGAAGACAAGGCAAACAAAACTTTTTCTGTGCAAGAAATTAAAGAATCAAATT